ATGTAACCTGCAATCCCATAAATGAATGCAGTTAACTGATAAAATAATGCAGTTAGCTCATGATACGCTCAAAATCTTTGGCAGGAATTCTAAGCAACAACTAGACTGTTAGCTTGGGTGCTAATTTTGCAGCTTAGACAAACACATTGTTGGAGTCATTTGTCACAGTTTTGCGCTTGTGTTAAGGCTGAAGAAATATAGACTTAACCCACACAAGCCTGGACATATCAAGGATGTCTCTTACTGCAGCCCTGTGGATGCTGCTTAAGAAATCCAAACTTGAGTGTCTGGCTGTTCCTGCTAACAGCTGCTAAACTATGATTGGACAATCCCTTTTAGGGATGGCGTTTGCTGGCGGCAGTTGTCAGCCTTGGGCACTTCATGGCTATAGCTAAATGACATGTTCTCCTTTTAGATGATATTTCAACACCTGAGGAGCAGTAAACACAGTGCTGCATCTCAGGTACTTTATAGGCAACACCTTTTCCTTCTGTCTTCACAGATTAAAAACACAATGCTAACTTATTAGCAGGAAGTACATATTAAAACACTTCCAGAGCCTGATGAAAGCTTTTGATACTTCTTCCCCTGCAAACAGTACCGATGTATAATATTTCTGTACAGTTCTAATTAGCATCATTACTCCTGCATTGATGCAGTACCAAATGAGCTCATTGAATTTTTAAATAGGCACAGTTATTTAAAGCAAGTGATTTGAACATTAAATCTGCATCAAAAATCTGCTTGAGAGTCGCATCACAGCAATTAAGCATATTTCCCAAGCCCAATAGCAATTAAAGGGATGTTACTGGAGTGAGGGGCTGCATATGAAAAGAGTTCCATAAACTTCGGGGGAACACATTTTATTGGTGTACTCTGTATAAAGCGAGAGGGTGAAGGAGCTCACTACTGCTTCACTCTCAGCCTGAACAGATGGTAAGCGCACACAGCATCACTGAAAAGCAGCCACGAGAACATTTTTGAACAACCTACTAAGATCTTTACCACTGAATCTGGCTGTGAGAAGAGTGAGCCTCCTGAATTCTGCCGCTGAGAGCAGCCTTCGTACACAGAACCCCTGCCAAGATATTCTCTGTTGCTTGCACACGCCACATTCTCCTTACAGAAACACATCGCATCTTTATTTTTCCTCCCAATCCCCGTTTCTTTTGATTCCCAAAGGAGATCAGAGGCGGCCTTTTGCTGTGGAATTTAATTTCTTGAGTCAATGCTAAGAAGTGACTGTGTTCTATTAGAGGAAGCACACTGTTCAGGACTATCGGTGTAGTCCAGTGAGCAAGAAATCTCGCCAACACAAACACGATAAGCTCTGCCTGTCCCGGTTCTTGACAGAATGCTGAAATTGTGTGATTGTTGCAGCAGAGAAAATCCCTCAGGTGAAAAATACAACACAGGGAAGCTTCACTGCAGCTCCCACTTATTTGGCAGATATGGGACTAGACACGTCACGGCAGCACCAAACAATACATGACAGCAGCAGAATTAAAAACACACAACAAGAGAGGGGGATTTAAGAAGAGTGGGAAGCATTTACTCGGATATTTTTTAAGCCTAGCAGGATTCTGCTGACAAAAAAACAACTAAATATTTTGTTAACTATTTTCACGTTCTAAGCCTATTGTCTCCGATGTGTTATCACCTGTACAAAATGTATTCCTGAAAATCAGGAGCTGGAAAGAATGACTGAACAAAGTATTCATTCACCTGCAGTTTCAATAAGCTGATGTGCACCATATACTTTTTTATATATGTGCTAAAACATCATGTTTTTAGACCTAATTTGCATAAGTCAGAAAGGTCAGATTCTAAAGGGTGAAGTATTGCTGCAAATAGGTTACTGCTGTGTGCTGGAACAGTGTAAGAATCTAAATCTAAAAGATGTCATTAACACTGTCAAAACACTTTTGTACAACACTTTTATTTCACTCTGCTAGATCTCACCTTATGACGCCAAAGAACTGCAAAAAGAAACACCAAAAAAAAAAAACAAGTTCACACTCTGTCTGCTTCCAACAGGGAGAGAAACACAGATGTAAAAAGGAGAGAAGATCTGTGTACTGCCAACGCAGAAATAAAGTGAGCAAACGTAGGGATCAGGTTTACCTCAGCCGGCTGTCACAGCCAGGTGTTAAATCAACAAGTCAGCTGACCGCTGCCAGTCCTCAGGGTGCAGACTCAAAACACGCCACACACCCTGTCAGGGTCTGTGTCTCTATAGTGCATCCCACAGGAACGTGTGCATGAAGCATGTCAGCCTCCAACATCGGTGTCATCCAGTGCACACAGTTCAAGGAGCTGTGCAATTTGCACAAGCAATTTTAGCTCAAAACAAGATAACCAACGCAGAAACTCTGTGTGGACACGGCACAGTGGGAGAGCCTGGGACAACTGAGAGTCATCAGTCCAAGAGGCTGACATGCAACATGGCCAAGGTCCATTAGCACACACACATATTTCCCATTTCTGGCTTTTTTCTTATCCGAAAGGGAATCGAGTTAACAAGGCTGTTTTTGACTGTCATGTTTGCCCCATCACAAGTCATTACCTATCAAGCCAAGCCTGCACCGAAGCACAACTCTAAAAATGTTACGATAAAATGACACAAGAGGAGGTTCATTAGAAGTGCTGGACTCAACGGCCTCGTCCTGGCGTCACCCAGCGGATCCTTGGTGCAAAAAGAAGGTCGGTGTTGAGTTACACGACTTGTTAAGAGCTGTAGGTCATGGGTGCAGACAGAACAGCTGTGCTCTTCACACAGGCCGCGGCGACAAGCAGAGGAGCGCAGTAGTTGTTGGATCATGGCGCTGCTAAAGCTGACCACATCAAAGACCGCCGCTGTGTGAAGTGAAGGAAAGAGGAGGGGACCATATCACCTCCACAGCGGCGTGTCTGCAGTTACTGGAGCAAATATTGGTAAAGTTGGAGTGTTTGTGTGAAAAGTTTACTTTGATGTAACTCTGTTGGATGTTATATGTGGGAGCGAGGGCAACTTTCTTGTGTTATTTTTAAATCCCCAAATAAAACACCATAAAAAAAAAAAAGACACACATCTTCTTAGCAGTAGCAAATGTATGTTGTTTTGAAATACTGCAGGTTTATCACTGTTTCTTAGATCATAGGAGCAACACTAAGGTGCCATGACAGAACGTGTTTGTGAGGGATGAGCAACAATTCCTCTGTCTGTTAGTCATAATAAAATCGCAGGCTGTTGGTTGTGGCAAACTGCTGATTTTTGGGTATTAGTATGTTCACAGCGTCACGCCTCAGCATCACATGCTAATGCACACGGTATCCTTCAGTGACTTTTTAGACACACAGCAGTTAAGTTACTTTCTGGTTAACACTTCCATGTATTAACGAGACTAATAGATATTGCAGAAATACAAAGAAAAAGTCTTCAATAAGGACATGAATGGGGCGAAGGGTGGAAAAAATGAAATAAAATGAAATGAGTCTAACATGAAACTATATGAAAACTGTGTTGAGGATATCATACCCAACACTTAAACTTAAAGATATAAATATGAATATTCACGGGACACACTTGGCCCAGCGTTACTGTAGATCATGAGACATTTATAGAGGCCATAGTCCTATAAGGGGCAGCCCGATTAAGAGTCCAACTCTCGACTCCTTTTGTGGATATCATTCCCCGCTCTCTCTCCCTGGTTTTTCTAACATGGGATGAGATAATTTAATGATAATCTCATGATTATATAAAGCAGTATTAGCAATATTTCTTAGCATAGTGCTACTGTGTGGACCTGCCTTGACTGGTATAGCCTCGACGAGCTGGTCATACGACAATCTCTTCTTTTAATAGTCACATTATTTTGTGTGTTAATTTCATTGTTTTGTATAAAAGTTGTGTTGTTATCGCTTGGATTAAGATCGTTTATATGGCGGGAGCTGTTTATGGACAAGTAGCGTTTAATACAGCGCTAGTATATGCACATTAAAACATGTTCATCCACTGACTCATGCAGTCAAACCTTATTTTGGTTTAAAACAGTTACCACTCTGCCTTCGACATCTACCGTCTGAATATATCAAGCATGAGAAATCAAGAGAGAGAAAAAATCCCCATTGCATCAGCAAAAAAAAAAAGGGTGTCCATATTTGAAGTGAAACCATGAAACACGTTATTGGAACATCATTAAATCTGGTCAGTTAGCTTCCTAACTGTGCAGCACAGAAGCCATAGGAAGATCACAGAAGCTCAACAGCCATGAATCTGAAATAACTTGAGCAAGCAAAAGTTGAGATTACACACCAACTAAGATTTTCCTGCTGGAGGCGGATTCTCACAGACTTCTGTGGTGAAACTAAGAACAGAGGGAGTTAAACCTTTTATAACAGCGGCGTGTGAAGACGAGCCGAAACTCTGAAAACTGCACTCGCCATCTACAGCTGGGACTTCTTACCGTGACTGTTTTGGGTTGAAGTCATTTCAGTTCAACAAGTTTGACTTCTATCCTTCAAGATTTCACCTTACTTGGTTCCCTTCGTCTTCAAACGGTTCTAAGTAACACTACTTAGTTATATTTATAGTTTTCCAGTCTTTCCCATTAAACAATAATTTGCTTTGTGATTTCTGACTAGAACTCCGGGTATTATCGCAGCACTGGAGGCAGATCATCTTTTGCTGGAGAGAAGTGAGAATTCATGAAGAGATTAGTGTTGCTTGACTGGTGTGGAAAATATTTCTCAGAAAGTGTTGTTGCTAAGCCCGTGATCATCAGGACTATTTAAAGCAGCAGAGTGCCAACTGTAGAGGGGAAATAACAATCAGGGTGCTGCTAAGATACCAGCAGATGTTAGGTGTCACATTATAATTGTGTTGGGTTTTTTTTATTGCATGATACTGCAAGGTACCTTCCTGTTCTATGAATAATTCTTTACACAAAGTATGAATATTATAAATTTCCTGGTGTATAACAACATCTCTTGCTTTCTTTTTTTTTTTCCTGTTCTCATAGATCCCTCAGGTGAGCTACGCCTCCACAGCTCCCGAGCTGAGTGATAACACCCGCTATGACTTCTTCTCGAGGGTGGTTCCCCCAGACACCTACCAGGCCCAGGCCATGGTGGATATTGTCAAAGCCATGCGCTGGAACTACGTCTCCACTGTAGCCTCTGAGGGAAACTACGGAGAAAGTGGTGTTGACGCTTTTATCCAAAGGTCTCGAGAGGATGGTGAGTTTTTCAATTATTGCTTTAATGATTCCAGAGTTTATTTAGACTGATGTGAAAATGACCTTGTCGACACCACTGACATAGTTTCTGTGATTGGACAAACAATTTAGAATCTAGTATTTTTCCCCCACTTAGAATTGATGGACTTTTATGTTAAGTAGTTTACTAATGTATTTTTTCATGAGCCTTTTACAAACTGAAGCTGTAACAGGTTGTTAAAACTAACCAGTGGCAAAAAAAAAAGCCTGTAATAGGAATATCTGATAACTTGAAAAGTGGTCAATACACAAATTACCTTTAACATTGATCTATCCAGTTTGCCACTTCAATGCTAACCTTTGTAAAAACGCTGATACTGAAACGATCAAAAGAAAAGGTCACTGATAAATCAAACGTTTGTTCTATACAAAACGTTTATGCTAAAAGTCCAAAAACACTGACAGCCATCCAACAAAGCCAGCTCGTAGTTAAAAGAAGACGGGTGTATCTGGCTGTTTTTGTATGACAATGTTTCAGATATGACACGGTAGGCTACAAAACAACACTATTCAATTCACTTCAACTTTCTTTATCCGTTAAGAACTTCAGTTGTATGAAATAAGTATCACTGAGTAGTGCATCTAGAGTTTGCATGAATGACAGCACAGCACAAAAACAAACCACACATTTCACATTCAACATCCAAAGTGCAGTCGAAGAGTACCGAGTGAGTAAAGCCTGAAGCCATAACAAATGGTGCATGACAGGTCAGCAATAAATAAAGCAAAAAGATTTACGGTGGCCTCAAAGTGAATAACCATTCAAGTTAACTTTGAAATATATTTAAAATAGGTCCTGAGTAATGTTAGGAATGGTTAAAAAGAGTGGTGCTAGGAATAGCCTGTTCATGAGTCTGATGGATGTGGGCACAAAGCTTGACACGGCTCTCTTAGTCCTGAAGGTGAGTGATCTGTCTCTGTGGCCTGATGGGAAAAGGTTGTTTAGATTGTGTGTGTGTGTGTGTGTGTGTGTGTGTGTGTGTGTGGTGTCGATGACACGATATGGTCAATACGTTACCATACAAACAATGTGACACAGTATGGTATTACAATAGGATACGAAATGATAGGATATCAAACCATAGAATACAATACCCTTTATTGCATTTCATTCCAAATGCTGCGTAAATTTAGCAGACATGATTAATATGAAAACACGACTTTGTTCAAAGCTCCAAACTGTTATCTGCAGGAAGTAAGAATATCTGATGGATACACTTTGTAACCAAAAGAAACTGAATTTGTTCATCTAATGTGACAGTGTGAAAAATGAGGCTACTGAGCCAGCCTTAAGCAACATAAGGATATAGCATTTACAGTGTCAGGAATACTAGTCATTTTTGGAGCAAGGAGCTGCCAGCACATGAGCTCAGCCTGACCTTTGACTCTTTCTGAAGCCGAATCTAATCACTAACGACATGTCCAGTACTCTCTCTGCCACCGCGTCCCCTTCCTTCTTTGCCAGCTTTTAGCTGCTGCCCCATCACCAGTCTTCCTGGAGAAGCACCAGCAGCAGATTACTCCTGCAGAGTCTGTTTAACTCAGCTGCCTATTTGCCTTACAGTCCATACTGAGGGGGAACAGAGCCCAACAAGACAGCCGCAGTTTCATTTCAGATAGATATTTTTGTGTGAACATTGTTTCATTTTTCGCTCTTCTTTTAAAGATGCTGATGTTAAAAACTAATTAAGGCCTAACTGAGCCAGACTTCTAAAATTCCCAATTCTGGAGATACAGTATATTATTGCTTTGAATTTCTAGATTTACATAAACAAAGACAGACGTGTATGTATAGGACAAGAGCTCTGGGTACTGAAAGACAAAACAATTTTGTGAGTTTTAGTTGGCGTTATCATTCGCTGTAATTTGCATTTAAATCAGTTTAAATATTTGATTTAAGGGAACGAAACACAGAGAGAGATGGAAAAGGAATAACAATCTATTCATTAACAGTTAGTGAATGTCATGCATTAAATGACTAATAAACACAAGTCAGGATTCAAATAACAAAATAAGACTTGTATGAAACAGGAATTTGAAAACTTGAACCGAAAGGATAATTCATGTTTTAAAGTTAAGCTTGTTTCATTCCTTCTTCTGTGTGTTGCCTTCTTATATGCATTAACATAATCAACATGTTTCCAATGACAAAGTTTCCCCACACAACTGGTTTAAAGAAGCAGGTGTTTTTTTTGGGGTTTTTTTTTTGCTTCAGTTTCTTCTTCGTTTGTTGTTTAATAGCGGTTAGTAAACAGTTACAAGCATTACTGCCACCTGGATTGGGATTTGAATACTGTCATGTGTGACTGCCTTGTTTTCTTAAGCGCTTAATTAGCGCATAAACTGAACTCTGAAATCCAAACCATAATGTTTCGGGAAGCATACTAAAATATTGTTACAGGCTTGATCCAAAGGCAAGGCAAATGTATTTACATAGCATTGTCTGTCTGATTATTAAGAGTTTGTGCTCTACGACAATTTCAGAAAGAAGCAAATTCAAGTGTATCACAGAAGAAATATAAAACATCATGACAACAGTGAACTGTTGCCCTAAAGGATTACACTGCAACCACTGAAGCCATTACCACAGCTCTTGGCTGACATGATAAACAAATTCACAAAGCTTTGTGGAGCTATTACTAAATCAGACCAGAGTTTCCTTCAGACTCAAAAATTTGTCGAATAGGCTAAGATTTAAAACTACTGGAATATGGTTTTCATTGTCGTGATAAACATATTAAAACAAAGCTGTTTTTTTGTGACATTGAAAACTTGACAAAAGTAACTTATAAGCAGTTAGAAACTCTCAGTCACCTGTCTGCTCACACCTGCTACACACAGATGTCTCTTGAGCTGCTGTTTTCTTTTGCTTAAAATGTCTCACTCTGAAACAGGTGAAGGCTCCCTAAAGGTGCCCCCAGAGCTTTCCAACCTAAAATCAGCAGCGCCTTTCATTAAATCAAGCCCTAACCGAGTCATGAATGCCTAAAGCCCTGCAAACATGTCGTTATTCCACCTGTGCTGTCTCCAGCTACAGAGCTCTTCTACTTTGTCAGAGATTTCACTGCATTGGTGATGTCTTTCTGAATTAGAGGGTGCCTTCTGATGACATAGATTCATTAGAAAGGTTTTGAAAGCACCCAGGGAAATTGCAACATGCGTGTTGCATCATGTTATAATGTCATGTATTTTTAGCATGATGGTTTCCATGGTACATTGTGTTTGGATTCAATCATAGTGTATGGGCGATGTTACTCCACAAATAAAACCTGTATTGTAGATGTATAAATTAATTAGGAAAATATTCTCAAAAGCAAAAATATTTATCTTTTTTTTTTTTTTTTTTTAAATACTGATGGACTATACCCCGAATACTTGTTGACATTAATAGTCGAATTGTATTTAACTGGAGGTATGTTGTTCTTAGGAGTAATTTAACATAGTTTGGATATCATTTCATGATTTAACTCTCTTTCTTTTAACTTTCTTTTGGGCTACCAAAAATCTCAAAGCAAGCTTTATTGCAAAAATGCATTTAAAAGAAATTGCCTTATTAAGCTGAAAAAAATGCATGTCACATGTCAAAACAGAACCAACAACAGACACCACAACAAACCAACTGCAGCATGTTTAGCTCTCAGAGCCACAGTAGATATTGATGGCATGCAGAGGTAAAATAGTGTTGCCAAAGGGCGTGGTTGACTGACCCTTCAGCTTGAGTCTTTAAATCTCATCCCTGCCTGGTTTGATTTCCTAATATTCAATATGACTAAAGAGATGTATAGACTGCAAGAAAAGGAGGCCTCTGGTTTTCAATTTCTTAGCACAGAGAGTAAAATATCTCTTTCTCAGTATTTCAGGAGGTTATAAAATGAATTTCCTTCATTTATTTAAGGTGACATTTATTTAAGGTGACATGTCTGATGTCGAGAAGGACAGTGGATATAGTCAGAGAGTGTGGAATGACGTGCAGAAAAAAGGATTCAAAGGTCAGACTCGGACAAGGGACACACCGCTTCAAGGACAACAGCCCAGGTACATGAAGCTCTCAAACTAACTGCTAAACATCCAGTGCCCCATTTCTAACAATTTCTCAAATATCACTGGTACTTGATTTGACTGCCTGACAGTTAAAGATAGCATGTCAGCTGAAAACTGTCAAACACACTTGTAATATCATTGTTTCGAGACAAACACTGCATGCTTTCTCAGTGACTATAAACAAACACTTAGACTAATAGCTGTCAATTAGCCTGTTTGTGAATCCTTTGTATTTAAAGCTTTACTATTGATTTCCCTTTCAAAATGAAAAACATAAACATATGTCTGTTTTTTCTCCATGCTGAAGCGTTGTTTATTCCCACATCCCCATGTTGACGCTTTGATTGATACCCGAGAAGAGACAGAGAGAACAAACAGGCAGCTCTGTCGAATTCAAAGCCACAGGTATTTGGCTGCTTAATGGGCTCTGCAGTCGTCTGCTCACATTATGAAACAGCCACATCTGAAGTGACCTCTTTCTCATTAAGCACCCAAAGGCCACACTGAGCAGCAGACTCGCCCACCTAAAGTCACAGTTGTTGTTTATTTCAGAGCAGCTACTTGTGAACACATCTTAACTCTGAATGGCTGAAGAAGAAAAAATTAAACATAATTTAGATTTCTACAGAATTTAACAAATTCAATAATTCATGAAAAATATCAGAGACGTGACAACTTTTATTAACATCTTAAAATTAGAATGTAACTGCTTTGCAAGTCATGAAATCATTCATCTTTTTAGTTAATATTTATTCAAAATCCCCAAACAGCATAATCCAAAGTTATTTAAAACTCTTCATTTTTGCTGAGAAATCAGTTTTAAATGTTTGGTATTATTTTATTTTTCTACAGTTATACAGTCTAGAGTGCACCTCACAATCTGAACTATATGTATTTCAGTCTGATTGAGCCGTAATGAAC